ACTTGTTATTTATTTTCATTGCTTGACTTTTTTATTTACCACTTATTAGGACTCTCTTCAGCTTCTGGAGACCTCACTATCCTATTATGTCTTTGTGTGAAGACATGCTGCTTTGTAATTATCGAAAGTGTCGCATCAAACTCTCTGGCTATGCATGGGTCACTGCCTGTTCTCACATCTTCTGTGATCAGCATGGCAGTGGTGAGTTTAGTCGCTCACCAGCTGTCTGTCCTGCCTGCAACAGTACCCTTTCTGGAAAGCTAGATATTGTCCGCACAGAACTCAGTCCGTCAGAGGAATATAAAGCTATGGTATTGGCAGGACTGCGACCAGAGATCGTGTTGGACATTAGCTCCCGAGCACTGGCCTTCTGGACATACCAGGTTAGTGCTTAGTCTAGTTTCTTTTAAGAAACTCTTTAAGGCATTTGTGGGAGTTTCTAGTGTCTTTTCTTCATTATTTTCTATTTATTTTTTATGAACATATGGGAAACTTTCTTTTTGATGAATTGTTTTATTTTCAAACACAATAATGTTTATTGTTGAGAATCAGGAAGAAAATTAAAAAAGCACTCATAATTCCATCACTCGGAGATAACCACTGTTGATACTGCACACACACACACACTGTCTCACACTCTTCTATACTAAAGTAAGATAATACCATACATACTGTTTTATTGTTAGAGTTAACAATATATTATATCTGGTATGAATTTTTCCTTTTTTTTTTTTGAGATGGAGTTTTCTTGTGTTGCCCAGTCTAGCCTCTAACTCCTGGGTTTAAGCCATTCTCCCACCTCAGCCTCTTGAGTACCCTGTGCCCCACTTTGTATGAATATTTTATTAAATATTTTTCAGTTAACTATCTATAATTGTGTTTTAATGGTTATATTGTATCATAATTCATTTCTAAGTTATTAAAATGCTATCATGAACATTCATCAAATACACATCCTTAATTTTTTCCCCTTATAATTTCTACTTTTGGTATTTACTTAGAAAGACCTCCCTGTGGATAACTTTAAGCATGTCCTAGAATATATTGTTATATTTTACATATATACTTACACTGTTTTTTTGAGACAGAGTCTTTCTCGCCCAAGCTGGAGTGCAGTGGCATGATCTCGGCTCACTGCAACTTCCACCTCCCGGGTTCAGGCAATTCTTCTGCCTCAGCCTCCTGCGTAGGTGGGATTACAGGCGTGTGCCACCATGCCCAGCTAATTTTTGTATTTTTAGTAGACACGGGTTTTTACCATGTTGGTCAGGCTAGTCTTGAACTCCTGACCTCCTTGTGATCTGTGAACCTCAGCCTCCCAAAGTGCTGGGATTACGGGTGTGAACTACTGCATCTGGCCACATATAAAGTTAAAATTCTTTTTGTGTGTGTGTGTGTGTGTGTGTGTGTGTGTGTGTGTGTGTGAGACGGAGTTTCGCTCTTGTTACCCAGGCTGGAGTGCAATGGCGCGATCTCGGCTCACCGCAACCTCCGCCTCCTGGGTTCAGGCAATTCTCCTGCCTCAGCCTCCTGAGTAGCTGGGATTACAGGCACGTGCCACCATGCCCAGCTAATTTTTTGTATTTTTAGTAGAGACGGGGTTTCACCATGTTGAACAGGATGGTCTCGATCTCTTGACCTCGTGATCCACCCGCCTCGGCCTCCCAAAGTGCTGGGATTACAGGCTTGAGCCACCGCGCCTGGCAAGTTATACTTCTTAAGGATGTTTGTTATCTGTCAAGTAACTTTTTATTATATTTTTCTGGGTAAGTTATTTCTCTTACATGCTCCTGTATTTTTCAACTCCTTTGGTTAAATACCAAATAGTGTGTTTGCTGGCTTACATGGTAAGAGTATGTTTACTTTTGTAAGCAACTACCAAATTGTCTTCCGAAGTGGCTGTACCAGTTTACATTGCCAGCAGCAATGAGTGCGAATTCCACGTCCTTGCCAGAATTTGGTATTGTCCATGTTCTGGGTCTTGGCCAATAGGTGTATAGTGATATGTCTTTTTAGTTTGCATTTCTCTGATGACATGTGATGTAGAGCATCTTTTCATATGCTTTTTGCCATTTGTGTGTGTATATATATACACATAAAAATACACACACACGCGCATATTTTTTGTTGTTGTTTGAGATGCAGTTTCATTTTTGTTGCCCTGGCTGGAGTGCAACAGCGCGAACTCTACTCACTGCAACCTACACTTCCCGGGTTCAAGTGATTCTTCTGCCTCAGTGTCCCGAGTAGCTGGGATTAAAGTCGTGCACCACTATGCCTGGCTAATTTTGTATTTTTAGTGGAGATGGGATTTCACCATGTTGGTCAGGCTGGTCTTGCGCTCCTGATGACCTCAGGTGATCTGCCTGCGTCAACCTTCCAAAGTGCTGGGATTACAAGTGTGACCCACCACGCTTGGCCATTTGTGCTGGGATTACAAGTGTGACCCACCACGCTTGGCCATTTGTGTATGTTTTTTTGGTGAGGTGTATGTGAAGTTTTCGGTCTATTTTTAAATTGTTTTCTTATCGTTGAGTTTTAAGTATTCTTTGTATATTTTGGGTAACAGTCCTTTATCAGATCTATCTTCTGCATATATACTCTCCTGATCTGTAGCTTGTCTTTTCATTCTCTCACAGGGCCTTTCACAGAGCAGAGATTTTTAACTTTAATGAAGTCCTGCTTATCAATTTTCTCTTTGACGGTTTATACCTTTGGTGTATTTTAAAAGTCGTTGTCAAATCCAAGATCACCTAGATTTTCCCCTATTATTAGCTTCTGGGAGTTTCATAGTTTTGCATTTTATATTTAAGTCTGTGAACTATTTTTAGTTTATTTTTGTGAAAAGTGTAAGGTCTGTCTAGATTCTTCGGGTCCTCAGTTTTTTTGCTGGTTATTGGCCAGAAGCTGTTCTTAGTTACTTGCCTCTTGGACTTTCCTGACATAGCTGCTTTCTTCCTCAAAGCCAGCAAGGGAGAGTGTCTTCTAGTAAGACCTTATAGTCTTAGGTAGTAAACTCATGAAGTGACAATCTGTTACAATGGTTGTAGTATTCTAGTCACAGGTCCAGCCCACATGCAAGGGGACAGGGAGTTACACAAGGGTATACGTACCAGGAGACAATGATAATTGTTTTAGAGTCTGTTCTTTACGCTCTGGATTACTTGTAAGAATGGGATTATATTTCTTAAAAATCTTTGAAAAACGTGTCATATATTAAATTAAGACAAAAACTCAGTTCTTTTGGTGTTATGATGTTAGTGGTTTGAGAGTATTCTTCCAGACTTTTTTCTATGCATTTAGTAACATAACTTGTTGTTTTTTAGAATTACCTCGTTGTATATACTGATTGCTTCTTAAACTGGGTTCTAAATGTTAAAATAACATCCCTATATAAGCATCTTTATTTTCCTTTTGTGTTTGTGTTACATTTTATAGTATATAACTTGGAACCCAATACCTTAAAAATCCTTTCTTTTTTGGAACCAGGTACATCAGGAACGTCTCTATCAAGAATACAATTTCAGCAAGGCTGAGGGCCATCTGAAACAGATGGAGAAGATATATACTCAGCAAATACAAAGCAAGGATGTAGAATTGACCTCTATGAAAGGGGAGGTCACTTCCATGAAGAAAGTGCTAGAAGAATACAAAAAAAAGTTTAGTGACATCTCGGAGAAACTTATGGAGCGCAATCGTCAGTATCAAAAGCTCCAAGGCCTCTATGATAGCCTTAGGCTACGAAACATCACTATTGCTAACCATGAAGGCACCCTTGAACCATCCATGATTGCACAGTCTGGTGTTTTTGGCTTCCCTTTAGGTAAGAAAGGACATGTGATATCCAGTATCTATTCTTTAAATCAATGATTTTTTATACTGCTCTGCCCACTTCCAAGCTAAACTCCATCTCAAAAAAAAAGGAAAAAAGAGTATAGGCTCTGAAAATAGGGTAGGGATATTGACCAAATTACTTAACTTTCTGTGCCTTCTCATCTATATAAAAGAAGGAGACTAATGCTTACCTCATAAAGTTTTAGGAATTTATATAAAACACTTACACCCTAGTACTTAGGAATCAATAATGGCAGCTAATATTACTACAACTATGTGGCTTTTAATTTAACGTAGCAATTTTTGCAACCTTTCATTTTGCAGAGATTAACTCTGCTCAAATTAAAGCGTTAATTTAAATGTAAGCAAATACAATAGATAAAAGTGATGATGTACAGGTTGAAACATGGGTAAAGAATTCATAGCCTACCACAACTCAAGACCCTTATAGTCTCCACTGAATGCTATAGGACAGTACAATGTAATATTACTTCTCAGGACCCCTGTGCAACCTTTCATTCCCTAAGCTACATTTCTTAAAATTTGCTTATAGCAAATAGTATGAAATGAAATAGCATACTTATTTGAACTGTTGCATTAATCTGACTTTCTGCCTCTAATTTCTTTTACTTTCTTTTTTTTTTTCACTTGAGATGGAGTTTCCCTCTTGTTGCCCAGGCTGGAGTGCAATGGCATGATCTCGGCTCACCACAACCTCCACTTCCTGGGTTCAAGCGATTCTCCTGCCTCAGTCTCCCGAGTAGCTGGGATTATAGACATGTGCTACCACGCCTGGCTAATTTTGTATTCTTAGTAGAGATGGGGATTTTCTGTGTTGGTCAGGCTGGTCTTGAATTCGTGACATTAGGTGATCTGCCCACCTTGGCCTCCCAAAGTGCTGAGATTGCAGGCATGAGCCACCATGCCTGGCCCAGAGCCTGTACTTTTTTTTTTTTTTTTTTTTTTGAGATGGAGTTTTGCTCTTGTTACCCAGGCTGGAGTGCAATGGTGCGATCTCGGCTCACCGCTACCTCCGCCTCCCGGGTTCAGGCAATTCTCCTGCCTCAGCCTCCTGGGTAGCTGGGATTACAGGCACGCGCCACCATGCCCAGCTAATTTTTTTGTATTTTTAGTAGAGACGGGTTTCACCGTGTTGACCAGGATGGTCTCCATCTCTTGACCTCGTGATCCACCCGCCTCAGCCTCCCAAAGTGCTGGGATTACAGGCTTGAGCCACCGCGCCCGGCTCAAGAGCCTATACTCTTAACCATTTGCTATGCTGTGAGAAGGCCATGTTTCAAATTTTTTCACCTGCCAATACCGATTGTACAGTTCTTAAGTTATTGTCAGTTTGGTTGTTTTGTTCTTTTGTTTATTGATTTTTGCTTTTGTCAAATATTTAGCAAATAAGTTTCATGTACCAGGTTATTAGGTATGATCCTAACCAATGAGGATAAAAAGATTATCTAAATAAGATTGCTTCTTTCTGGAAGTTCACAATCTAGCATGATGCCACCATCTCTTTTCCGCTTGTTAGGTGCCTTGCAGATGGAATAAATCTCATTTCTTCCTGAGTTCTGTTCTTTACAACAGAATTCGATAGATTTTTGCAATACTATTAATGGAAATTCTTTTTGGCCTACTAAAAAGTAAAGCTTCTTGTGCTGGATTTTCCTAATACTCATTTTTGGATATTAACTATAGGCTGAGGAAAAAAGTTTAGTAGGGGAGGAGATAACGTTTTAGAAAAGGTATGAAGTGGTCAGATGTGGCTCAGCACTTTGGGAGATTGGGGTTGGAGAATCACTTGAGCCCAGGAGTTCAAGACCAGCCTGGGCAATATAGTGAGATGCTGTCTCTAAAAGAAAGAAAAAAAAAAAGAGAGAGGGGACAGGTATGAGGTGATGAGCAGTATCAGATAAAAGAAAAAAACCTAAGTTTCTGCTTCACTTTCAGTTACTTATATAATGTAAATTTAGTCAGAGTGTTACTGTAAATGGGCACTATAGATATTTTTTTTCCTGTCACTGTCCACATTTGTCTATATATATATATATTCAACAGTTCTTCCCCATTCCTCTTTGTAAACACTTAATCCTTTTATCTCCTGCTACCACTGTTAGCTTGAAGGATATATAGTCAGCATTTTCCTTTAGTTGCATGATCCTTTAAAACCTGTAAAAGCCAAAGAAGGGTTCAGTGGAAGTAGTTAAATGTTTATTTAATCAGATCTATAATCTGCTTTGTCTTAAGCCTGTGCTAATTGGCATTGGATCATGGTATATGCTAGCATTTCATAGTTACATTTTTTCTAGAATGTTTATTGCAATTTTTTTTTTTTTTTTTTGAGATGGAGTTTTGCTCTTGTTACCCAGGCTGGAGTGCAATGGCGCGATCTCGGCTCACTGCAACCTCCGCCTCCTGGGTTCAGGCAATTCTCCTGCCGCAACCTCCTGAGTAGCTGGGATTACAGACACAAGCCACCATGCCCAGCTAATTTTTTTGTATTTTTAGTAGAGACGGGGTTTCACCTTGTTGACCAGGATGGTCTCGATATCTTGACCTCGTGATCCACCCGCCTCAGCCTCCCAAAGTGCTGGGATTACAGGCTTGAGCCACCGCGCCCGGCCTATTGCAATTTTTTTAAAAAAATATTAAGTAAGATAACAAAACAAAACAAAAAGAAAAAAAAATATTAAGTAACCCAGGGCAAATATTTTATATGTCTGTTTTTTTCTTTTTTTTTTTTTTTTTGAGACGGAGTTTCACTCTTGTTACCCAGGCTGGAGTGCAATGGCGCGATCTCGGCTCACTGCAACCTCTGCCTCCTGGGTTCAGGCAATTCTTCTGCCGCAACCTCCTGAGTAGCTGGGATTACAGACACGAGCCACCATGCCCAGCTAATTTTTTTGTATTTTTAGTAGAGACGGGTTTCACCTTGTTGACCAGGATGGTCTCGATATCTTGACCTCGTGATCCACCCGCCTCAGCCTCCCAAAGTGCTGGGATTACAGGCTTGAGCCACCGCGCCCGGCCATATGTCTGTTTTTTTCTAAGACAAATATTGGAGAAAAAAATGTATATTCATATATATATATTTGATGATTCCTCTGAAGTAAATTATATAGATATCAAATGAATAAAATTATGATACTGTAAATTCTAGCTATATCAGGAGCATGTTTCACTGTGTCAAATTACTTTTAGTGATAGATCATGCTACCATTAGAAATTGAGTCACAGTATATGCTATAGTCAGAAGATAGAGTAGGGAATATTACTGTCTTTTTCTTATCCAATAATAGGTCTGTATCTTATCCAGCTCGTAGGCATTGAGCTCTGTTAAAATTTTTATTGAATACTTTTTGTCGTTTTGTTCCTGAAGTTCTATGAGGAAATAGATGCTTATGTTTTTCCCCTTTTTCCTCCTAGGTAGCAACTCCAAGTTTCCTTTGGATAGTTCACCTGTTCGAAATCGGGGAGATGGAGATGGAGATTTTCAGTTCAGACCATTTTTTGTAGGTTCTCCCACAGTACCTGAACCCAGCAACAGCTTTTTTAGTTTTGCCTCTCCAAGTCGTGAATTAGAGCACCAGCAAGTTTCTAGCAGGGCCTTCAAAGTAAAAAGAATTTGAGCCAGTTATGGTTTCATGGACCTGTGATCCCAGCTACTTAGGGGTATGAGGCTGGGAGGATCACTTGAGCCCAGGAGTCTGAGGCTATAGTGATCTAAGATCATGCCACTGCACTCCAGCTTAAGCAATAGAATGAGACCCTGTTTCTACAAAAAAAAAAAAAAAACGAAAAACAAAAAACAAAAAAAAAAAAGAAAAAAAAAACAAAGGTAATTTAGCCAACTTTACAGAATGTTTCTATGTTCATCTTCAGTGATTTCATTTAGCAAATCCTTTTAATAGATAGGACTCCCAAAGCCTCCCTGTGCTTTTAAGTCTCTGAAGTTGTCTTGACATTATCAACATAACCAAGTCATTAGCAGTGGGGAGTGGTTTAGAGTCTGGTTTCTTTGTTTCTATTATTTAAAGCTTGAGCATTTTATTAATCTCAATTCCATTGTGAACTGCTGAATTTTCATCCCTAGTGAGAAGGTTGCAATAGCATTTGTTTCAATGGATAACTGTTTCTCTCTGGGCTGTTTTCTGACGGAGCTGTGTTGTTTATGCCTTAAGTACCTGTGTTACATGCTACATGTCACTTTGAATTCTGGTATTTATACATGTCTATATATGTAAGCATATTAATTTCCAGTGATATTTTGCTGTATTTGCCAGTCTGTTTATGTGAAAATTTTGGTCTTGGAAAATGGTGGGTGCTGTGTGGCTTGTTATTTGGGTATGTGTATTTATTTGTATATATTTAGGTATTTACCTTTATATTAACTTGTTTGGAGGTATGCTGATGTCAGTATATGAGAGTACAATTCAATGCATGTATGTTCAGTCCCCATTTGTATTTAAGAATAACTCACATTGCTAAAGTTATTTTTTAAAGTTGACTTTTTCGGCTTTTATGGTTGGTCCTCTGTCCACACGTTCTGCTCAGACAACCATCTATCAAAAATATTCAAGAAAAAAAAGATAATAATAATCTAACAAAAAATATAAATTAAAAACCAATACTGTGTAACAGCTATTTGGATAGCATTTACATTGTAGGTATTATAAATAATTTAGAGGTGATTTAAAGTATTTGGGAGAATCTGTAGGTTATATGCAAATACGATGCCATTTTATAAAAGCGACATGAGCGTCCAAGGATTTTGGTATCCATGAGGGTTCCTGGAACCAGTCCCCCAGAGATACCAAAGGACGGTATTTTAAAATAAAGCTACTTCTTTCTTTACCTTTTTGTCAACTGTTGCCTTGGGTTTACTTATTTAAGAATGCACTTCTGCCGAAAGTTTACCAACGTGTTACTGCTCTCAAGAGACTATTAAAATAATTTAAAAGATTATTTCTTGTTTTCCTTTATTAAGTAGTAAGCATTTCTGACTATTATGGAAATTATGTTTATGAATTTGTTTGAAATGTAGAGCCATAATAGAAATTTGAAGGACATTCTCAGCAACTTGTTTTTTGCTTTCTCATGCCTTTATTCCATTCTTCTCATCCTTCAGGTAACCATGTTTATTAGATCTTAATTTAGGCTTCCAGTGTTTCTTTTTTCTTTTTTTAAATTATACTTTAAGTTCTGGGGTACATATGCAGAACGTGTAGGATTGTTACATAGTTATACATATGCCATGGCCATTTGCTGCATCCATCACCCCGTCATCTACATTAGATATTTCTCCTAATGCTATCCCACCTCTACCCTCCCACCCACCGACAGACCCCTGTGTATAATGATCCCCTCCCTGTGTACATGTGTTCTCATTGTTCAACTCCCACTTATGAGTGAGAACATGTGTTTGGTTTTCTGTTCTTGTGTTTGCTGGGACATTCTCAGTAACTTTATATCCTGTTACAGGAAAGACTTGAAAACATACTGGCTGGGGAGACAGAACATCTGGGTTCTGGTTATGGTTTTTTCTACTTAGTTTAAACTTTCTTGGACTTAGCCTCTGTATCTGTAAAATGAAGGATTGAATTAAGTTATCCTTATGGCCTTTTCTAACTCTTAAATTTTGTGATTGATTCTTACAGGTTTAGGATGTGTTAACAATGGAATTACCCTAAATGCCAAATCCCATTTTATTTTAGTAATAAAAATTATTCTGAAATCATTTGAAGATATTTTATATTTAGTCATTGTAGAAAGGCAATTAAATATCCCTGCTTTACATAATTGAAAAGCAAGTAGTTTCCTTCACTAGGAATATAGAGTATAAAATCTCTTAAAAATTATTCGTAGTGTGTACCAAAGTTATTTATTACTGTTTTTTCTTTTTCTTTTTCTTTTTTTTTTTTTTTTTTTGAGACGGAGTTTCGCTCTTGTTACCCAGGCTGGAGTACAATGGCACAATCTCGGCTCACCGCAACCTCCGCCACCTGGGTTCAGGCAATTCTCCTGCCTCAGCTTCCTCAGTAGCTGGGATTATAGGCACGCACCACCATGCCCAGCTAAGTTTTTGTATTTTTAGTAGAGACGGGGTTTCACCATGTGGACCAGGTTGGTCTCGATCTCTCGACCCACCTCGGCCTCCCAAAGTGCTGGGATTACAGGATTGAGCCACTGCGCCCGGCCTTATTACTGCTTTTTTTTTGAGACGGAGTTTCACTCTTGTTAACCAGGCTGGAGTGCAATGGCGCGATCTCGGCTCACCGCAACCTCCGCCTCCTGGGTTCAAGCAATTCTCCTGCCTCAGCCTCCTGAGTAGCTGGAATTACAGGCACGTGCCACCATGCCCAGCTAATTTTTTGTATTTTTAGTAGAGACGGGGTTTCACCATGTTGACCAGGATGGTCTCGATCTCTCGACCTTGTGATCCACCCGCCTCGGCCTCCCAAAGTGCTGGGATTACAGGCTTGAGCCACCGTGCCCGGCCCTACTACTGCTTTTTTTGAGAGAGTCTTGCTGCGTCACCCAGGCTGGAGTGCAGTGGCGCATCTCGACTCACTGCAACCTCCGCTTCCTGGATTCAAGTGGTTCTTTTGCCTTGGCCTCCTAAGTAGTTGGGATTACAGGTGCATGCCACCACACCTGGATAATTTTTGTGTATTTAGTAGAGATGGAGTTTCACCACATTGATCAGGTTGGTCTTGAACTCCTGACTTCAAGTGGTCTGCCCACCTTGGCCTCCCAAAGTGCTGGGATTACAGGTGTGAGCCACTGTGCCCAGTTTAGTGTGCACCAAAGTTAAATTGAGAAAGAGGATGAAAAATTTCAAATTATAAGTTTTAAAACATCTCTCATTTTATAGCTAATGACATAGATTTTATAGGTTACAATAGAAACTATGTTAGAAAATGATTTGAGGAAATGGATTTTATGTACATTCATGATTTCTGCCTTGAAAGTTTTGCTTCTTTGTTAGGTTCACAGAATCAGCTTGCAGCTGTAATTAAAACTAAAAAAGTAAAGTGAAACTGTCAGGAATATTACATGACACTTTAAAAGATATGTTCACAAGGTACAAACTTGAAAGTTATAAAAAAAGGCATAGAGTGAAAAGTCTACCGCAGTCCCCTAGTCACTCATTTTTGCTCCAGCCACTCACTTCTCTTTGTAAACAATAGTGTTGCCAGTGTCTTGTGTCTCTTTCCAGAGACTGTGTAAAAGCAAATAATTTATTTAAAAATTGTTTATATTTGAATAGGTGATGCATATAGATGGCAAGAAAATTCAAAAGGGCAGGCGGTAAAAATTTTCTTCACTTACCTACAGCTCCCCTCTTTCTGTTTCCCTCTGCAGAGACCAGTCATCATTTCTTATGTATACTTCTGGATGTTGTCTATCAATATGGAGGCATTATTAGTATACAAGTGATGGCTTTATGAGCAATCCCAAGTGTAGTATTTATTAGGATAGTGCATTAAGATGATAAAGTTAATCATACATAGGAAATTATTGCAAAGTTTGGGAACGATTCAATAGAGTAGCCGTTGTACATGGCTTTCAAAATTTCAAACACAGGTGTGCACTTCTTAACCTCTCTTCTTTATGGAGGATTATAATCTTGGTGTAAGTAAGTAGGAAAATATGAAAGAAGAATATAGTAATTAAACTGAGAACATTTTGTTTCCAGGATCTGAGAAAGAAGCAAGCTTATGAACTCAAAAGTGTAGAGCATCTCTGTGCTCTACGACATGGGTTAGGTTGGTTTCAAGCAGAGCCCTTCAGGTGCAGATAAGCCTCCAGAGCGTCAGATGTCGCTGTGGTTCCGCGATGGGAGAGGGCGTGCGTCTCTGTGGTTATAAAGTTGTGGGCGGAGAAGCGTAGAGTGGCTGAGAGATGATGGCTGATGAAGAGGAAGAAGTCAAGCCGATCTTGCAGAAATTGCAGGTGAGGCCGTAGATTTAAATCTGTATGTGCTTTTGTTATTCCGAAAGAAGCAGGGAGTTCAGTTTACGTAGTGCCCGTGTAATTCCCTGCCACATAGGCGAAGCCGCGTGCGTCTGTGCGGTTACTATAACAACCGTTGAAGGTGCAGCCGCAGCCAGCCAGGGAGCCTCCTAGTCTGCTGGGACCTCCTGCTGACGACCTGACTGCGGTTAATTTCAGTCCTGTATGGAAGAGGATTTGTTGCTCCTAACTATTCATGTATATTTTTAGAGAGGACGTTGTTTTCTGGATTCATCCATAGCGAATAACATATACATGTGCATGGCAGATCTGCATGAACTATTATCACATGTTATTTTGATCCCTACAAAAGCCATTTAACATCTTTCCGCTTTGAATTTGGCAACAATCACACTAATGACCTGCACCGCAAGTATCCTGGTTACTCTTCTTAGGACTTCAGTTTTGATTTTCAACATGTGTAATCCCACTTTGGGGTCTGATGCAGACGTTTCCAGAGTCCACGTAGTCCACAGGTGACAGTGCTTCTGAGTTAAACTAGTCTTTTGGACTCGGTAGCGAGATGTTAACTAGCTGCTTGGCTCTTTGCCTTTAAGGTTCCAAGATTTTTCTTAAACCTCAGGAACTCAGTTCTTCGTTCTAAGACAGCCTGTGATTTAAATATTGGAAATATGACAGGCTTGTAACTTGCCAAAACGCAAAAATTTAAATATTGGTGAAATTTTTTTCTTGAGTACAATAAAATAGTAACACTTTTTAGAGTGTTCCAACTGATTTGGATTAACTTTGTTTTTTCCCCTAATTGTGACTGGTCGAAATCAGAGATTCTCAATTCTGGTTCTATATTATAAACATTATTTGTTTATATATGTTTGTACCTGTACAGAAAATAGTCTGAAAAGGTATACAAATCAGTGGTTATCAATGAGGTTGTTTGGGGGAGTTTTTTAAAACTTTCTGTTTTCTATATATCTATTTGAATTTTAACAACTTACATGTATTGATTTTGCCATGAGAATATGTTTCTGCAAATGTTCGGTCCAGGGGCAAACAAAACCAAACAACAAAACCAAACAATTTCTTGAATATTTGCTTTAACAACTAAAACCAATCAATAAGCCCCTCTCTAAATCTCTTAACTTGCAGCCATGTTGATTGCAGGACAAAAGGAAATTGGCTGTTATTTTTTATGAGAATTGCCTTTTCCTGGGTTCATTTGTGGTCAATGTCTTAAGCAGCTTGGGAGAGGATACTTAGGTTATCTTGGTGTGGGGTAGGTGCAGGAATGGAATGAGGGAGAGGAGAGGAAAAGGATTAGATAGTGGTGTTGCTGTTCGTGGAGATGGTGGTAAGCTTTTATTTTATTGTTATAGACATTTTGGTGTAAAAGGAATGTATAAAAGGATATTTCTCAAAGTGTCTTTTACAGACAGTTTTCATTACAATCATCTGGGGTGCCTGTTAAAAATGCAGAATTTTGAGTTCTGCTAAGCTGTTAAAATCAGAGTCTCTGCAGACTGAGTCCTGGATGTAATACAATAAAGTGTGAAAAGCATTACTGCAGAGAGTGCTATTCTGTTCTCTTCATTCTGGGTAGGATTTTAAATTAAGTATAGCACATATATATTTGTTAAAACAGGGATAGTTAATTAGCTAATTCAATCAAATATATTGAATGAGAGTCTAGCCTGTCCCAGGCACTGTTCTGGTGCTCAAGTGTAGCTTGAAACAAAACAGATTAAAGGTCTTTCCATCATGGAACTTAATTTCAGTGGTGGAGGCAGACAATAGACAATGATAGGCCACATAATTTTAAATGGTAAGTATGAAGAAAAATGAGTATGATTTAACAGTAGAGGAGAGAAGGAAGGGATTCATTTAGGTTGAGTAATTAGGAAAAACCTTTCTAAGAGTTGATATTTGAGCTAAGATGTAAATGTTGATGAGGAATAAGTCATGCAGAGATCTGGAGAAAGTGTCCAGGCATAAGGAAAAGCATGTGTGAAGCCTTCCAGGTGGGCTGAGCTTGATGGGTTTGAGAAACTGCATGAAGGCCACTGTGGCTTGAGTATTGTAGGAGAGAGAGTGGTGAGAAGTGAAGTTAGTGTCAGGATGGGTGGTGGTAGGTCAGCTTATAGAGTCTTCTAGGCCATGGTAAAGATTTGGATTTTATTCTGTCTGTGATTGGAAACTATCTGAAGGTTTGTGATATGATATACATTTTTTTATAAGATCACTCCCACTACAGTGAGGAGAATGGGAGAGTACAGAAACAAGATGACTGGTTAAGAAGCTCTTGCAGTCCAGGCAAGTAATGAAGCCGATGTAATCCAGGAATGGTCATAGTGAGATAGAGACAGGTGGATGAATTCAGGATGTGTTGTGAAGACAGTTGATTAGACTTCATGGGAAGTGATTATATATTTCTGCTGCTATCCAGTTTTAGGAAAAGAATAGGGTGAGTATCTCTCATCTGAAATGCCTAGGACTAGAAGTTTTTTGGATTTTGGATTTTTAAAAATTTTGGAATATCTGCGTATACATAATGAGATAACTCAGGAATGGGACCTGAGTTATGAAATATGAAACTTGGTGGCTAATGCCTGTAGTACCAGCACTTTGGGAGGCTGAGGTGGGAGGATTGCTTGAAATCAGGAGTTTGAGACCAGGCTGGGCAACCTAACTCTTAAGACCTTCTCTTTTAAGAAAGGAAAAAAAAATTATTTCATTTAGACTTTCTACACATAGGCTGAGGCAATTTGACACAGTTTTTAAAATAATTTTGTGCCTGAAACAAAGTTTTGACTGCGTTTTGACTGTCAGGTTTGGAATTTTCTACTTGTGGTGTCATGTCAGCATTTAAAAAGTTTCGGATTTTGAAGGATTTCAGATTTTTGGATTAGGGATGCTTGGCCTGAGTGCAAAAGCTTTGCCTGGTATGACAGGAAAACTCGGAGGCATTTAAGAGGAAAGAGAATATTTACTTGTAAAAAATCCAAGACAGCCAGAAGATGACTTGACAAAAAAATTAAACTAAACAAAACCACAATAAGCATTTCAAAGAACAAAATGCTGCAAAAATACCAAAATCACCAAGTTCGAATTGGTATGTTTGTGATGTAAAACAATGATTCTGTAACATGTTTATCATATTCACAAAGGTTGTATTGTATTTTCAGATATCAGCATATGAAAAATCAGGGATAAAATGGTTTTAGTTAAGAAGTCCAACTTTAAGCATAAATTTCAAAGTGTTATTCTTTAAGGACCAGAATCATATAGAATGATCTTATTAATTTTTGGTTTATCTTAAGTTGCCTGTTTCCCTCCTCATGACTGTGGTATGTGAAGTGCTTAGTCATATTAGGAGCCCTGCTGGGGCAGGGAGAGAAAACGGTCATCACAGTACAGACACTGGCATGGGACAAGATGGGACCATGAGAGCTGGTCTGGAGTACTGGCTGCTTTTCCTTATGATTTCTGGCATTTTGGTAAACCTGTGTACCTGCCTATTGTGCCATTCCTAGGTGAGATAAGAGAATTGGTATTTCTAGACCAAGAGCTAGTATGGCTAGCCAATTTCAAGTTTCCCTGTCTGCTGCTCTCTCCACTGAATAGTTCCATTGTCATACTTTTTAGGAACTAGTGGATCAGCTCTATTCATTTCGAGACTGCTATTTCGAGACACATAGTGTTGAGGATGCTGGGAGGAAGCAACAGGATGTGCGAAAGGAAATGGAAAAGACCCTACAGCAGATGGAAGAAGTAGTGGGTATGAGCCCTAGAGATTGTACAACCCCCCATCCATCACTAAAATGTGATCAACCTTTACTCCCTCTTTGTAGACTCTTTGGTGTGCTACCCGTTACTGCTATAGGGTAGTACAATGTAATATTACTTCTCAGGACCCTTGTGCAACCTTTCATTCCCTAAGCTACTTTTCCTAAAATTTGATTATAGCAAATAACATGAAATGAAAGAGCATACTTATTTGAACTATTGCAGTAATCTGACTTTCTGCCTGTAATTTCTCTTTTTTTTTTTGAGACGGAGTTTTGCTCTTGTTGCCCAGGTTGGAGTGCAATGGCGTGATCATGGCTCACCACAACCTCTGCCTCCTGGGTTCGAGTGATTCTCCTGCTGCAGCCTCCCGAATAGCTGGGATTACAGGCATGCACCAGCACGCCTGGCTAATTTTGTATTTTTAGTAGAGATGGGGTTTCTCCTTGTTGGTCAGGCTGGTCTCAAAATCCATACCTCAGGTGATCTGCCTGCCTCACCTTCCCAAAGTGCTGGGATTACAGGTGTGAGCCACCACACCTGGCCTCTTTTACTTTCAAATCCACTTGTATAATGACCATGGCCATGGTTATCTTTCTAAATAATTACTTCATGCATTTTACCTTATCCTCCTATCTGCCTTTTTGCTCCGGTATCTTTAAAGAGTCATACTATTGACTAGCTGAAGTCCAACCCCCTTAACCTGGCATTTAAGTGTCCATTCATTGTTTTACTCTGTTTTTTTTTTTTTTTTGAGACGGAGTTTCGCTCTTGTTGCCCAGGCTGGAGTGCAATGGCGCATTCTCGGCTCACCGCAACCTCCACCTCCTAGGTTCAGGCAATTCTTCTGTCTCAGCCTCCCAAGTAGCTGGGATTACAGGCATGCGCCACCATGCCCAGCTAATTTTTTGCATTTTTAGTAGAGACGGGGTTTCACCATGTTGGCCAAGATGGTCTCGATCTCTTGACCTCGTGATCCACACTCCTCGGCCTCCCAGAGTGCTGGGATTACAGGCGTGAGCCACCGCGTCCAGCCAGTTTTACTCTGTTTTCTTTTCTTTTCTTTTTTTTTTTTTGAGACAAGAGTCTTGCTGTATCGCCAGGCTGGAGTGCAGTGGTGCCATCTCAGTTCACTGCAACTTCTGTTTTCCAATTTCAAGCAATTCTCCTGCCTCAGCCAACTGAGTAGCTGGGACTACAGGCATGCATCACCACGCCTGGCTAATTTTTTGTACTTTTTTTTAGTAGAGATGGGGTTTCACCATGTTGGTCAGGATGGTCTCAATCTCTTGACCTTGTGATCCACCCGCCTCTGCCTCCCAAAGTGCTGGGATTACAGGCGTGAGCCATCGCGCCCAGCCTTTACTCTGTTTTCTAACCTTACCTGTGACTAATTATTTATAGAGGAACTTTCTGTTTCATCCAGGTTGAACTATCTATTCTCCTGTGATTATGGTCACATTTAGTTCTGCCTCTGTGTCTTTGTTTATATTATTTTCTAACCTGGAGGGTCTTTTCTTCTCTCTCTCTCTCTTTTTTTTTAACAGTAGCTGTTTGTCCTGATTCTTCTTCTCTTGACTTTTTAAAGCCCATTTGTTGGGCTAGTGTCATATGCTCTTTTTCGTGGTTTTAATTTTTAATGTCTATGCTTTGTCTTCTCCAACCCTTTAGGAAAATTAGCAACCAAACTGATCCTTGTAGTTAGGGGCCCGAGAAACAGATGGCAGAAGCTCTAGAAATAGTGCTTTCTTTGCATGGAGATTCTCCAGAAAATTAAAAAGAAAAAAAATAATGCTTTCTTTGTTGCCCAGTTAGCTAACATAGCGCTCTGCTTATGGCGAGCTTTTAATAAATGGTTTGTTGATACAGATTTTCATCAACTCTTTTTATTCCTAAAACTGACATGTAATTAGTTATTTTTTGAGAGAAGGTGCCCTGGCATTAACTGTTGCTTTTTTCCACTTTATCTTTTTTCTTCCTCTTAGGTTCTGTCCAGGGCAAGGCACAAGTTCTAATGCTAACTGGGAAAGCACTAAATGTGACTCCTGACTATAGCCCTAAAGCTGAGGAGCTTCTGTCAAAGGCTGTGAAGCTGGAACCCAAGCTGGTGGAAGCCTGGAACCAGCTGGGCGAGGTGTACTGGAAAAAAGGGGATGTTGCAGCTGCCCACACCTGCTTCAAAGGAGCTCTCACCCATGTGAGCTGCCCACTATTCCTTTGGAAAACACAGATGGGAAGGATGAATTTCTTTGGTTCTATGAGTTTCCCTAGAACATGAAAACTAGAGTAGAACTGTGTTTGAACTAGGAGAAGAGAATCAGAAGGGAGGAAGGGTCAGAGGAAAAGCAGACCTAGAGGAGGAAAATAGAGGCAGAGAGCTGGGAAAAAAATGATGATGGGATCAGGTTCAGGTGGAGAAAGGAAGTGAAGAAAAGTAGCTGATCTTTGTAGATGGGAGTTGAAGATACAGATGGCAGCAAGAATTTAGATGAAAAAATTAGGGCTGGGTGTGGTAGCTTACACCTGTAATCATAGCACTTTGAGAAGCTAAGGCAGGAGGATCATTTGAGCTCAAGAGTTTGAGACCAGCCTAGGCAACATAGTGAGACCTTGTCTCTTTAAAAAAAAAATATATATATATATACACACACACACACACACACACACACACACACATATTATGTGTACATAGGTATACACACATGTACACACACACACACATATATATATATATATATATATATATATATATATATGCCAGACGTGGTGGCTCATGCCTATAATCCCAGCACTTTGGGAGGCCAAGGTGGGCAGATCATTTGAAGTTAGGAGTTTGAGACCAGGCTGGCCAACATGGTGAAACCTTGCCTCTACCAAAAAATACAAAAATTAGCTGGGTATGGTTGCATGTGGCTATAGTCCCAGTTACTCGGGAGGTTGAGACACAAGAATCACTTGAACCCAGGAGGTGGAGGTCACTGTGAGCCGAGATTGTGCCACTGTACTCCATCCTGGTTGACAGGGTGAGACCCTGTCTCAAAAAAAAAATTATGGCTAGGTGCGGTGGCTCACGCCTGTAATCCCAACACTTTGGGAGGCTGAGGTGGTTGGATCACTTTAGGTCAGAAGTTCGAGACCATCCTGGCCAATATGGTGAGACTCAGTTTCTCTTAAAAATGCAAAAATTAGCTGGACATGGTGGTGCATGCCTGTAGTCCCAGCTACTTGGGAAGCTGAGGCAGGAGAATGCTTGACTCGGTAGGTGCAGGTTGCAGTAAGCTGAGATCGCACCACTGCACTCCGGCCTGGGTGACAGCAAGATTCCATCTCATAAAAAAAAAAAGAAAAATTAATTGCAGAAGATTGAGTTCAGAATAGATCTAGAAAGAGGAGGTAGAATCAGGAAACCTGAGTATATGTCTTTTCTATTTGCAGTGCAGGAACAAAGTCTCTTTGCAAAACTTGTCAATGGTGCTTCGCCAGCTGCGGACTGACACTGAAGATGAACGTTCTCAGCATGTCATGGACAGTGTCCGACAGGCTAAGTTGGCTGTTCAGATGGATGTCCATGATGGCCGCTCGTGGTGTGAGTGCTCTCAATCTTCAACAGGTTTCTAGAGCAGATGTTTTCAATCATGGCAACATTTGTAGTCTATCTTTTGAGTCTGACTCTGAGGTTTAAGCCAGGGCATCTTTGCTTTGAAGGCACACGAGAGACATTTTGGTGAACTACTTTTCTAGGAACTGTTAGATCTTTTGATCCTAATTTTCACAGAAGCATGGCAGGGCTTTTGTACAGTCTGTTCAAATTTCAGTTTGGGGTCCATGTTTATTGCTCTATACTACTGGGATTTTGGGTGTACTAAATATTGTATCATTCCTGGTTTGGGTTTCATGTGGGACCTTTCAAATATGACTTTCAAGGATGATCAAAATAAGTCATATCTTGAACTTGGGCTCTGAGATGATTCATGACTGTGCTTCTCTTTCAGATATTCTTGGGAATTCATATCTCTCTCTTTATTTCAATACTGGCCAGAACCCTAAGATCTCCCAACAAGCCCTCAGTGCCTATGCCCAAGCAGTAAGTACTTATGGTCTCCAGGGCAGATGAATAGGCAGAAACAGAAGCAAAAGCATAATTCAATCTTTTCTGTGGCCCTTTAGCAAGCATCATGGGCAGTGGCAGTGTTTGCTGGTATCTCGTGTGTGATTTTGTGAACATGTGTCTGCAGAGGTAACTGACTTCTTATAACTTGAGTGTTAGGAACGACTTGCATTGTGGTACGTTGGTGTTGGATAGCTCCGTGACCTGTCTAGGTTTCTTACGCGCATGTGCAGCCAAATCACAGAGCTGTCTCAACGTGTTCATCTTTTTTAATGGGAAAAAATCTATTAAAATAATGCTTATTAATATTTTTGTACATTCATTTTAAAGAAAAATGAAAACCTATACTGCAGTGTAAATTAAGTGCTATCCCCAAATTAACTGTTAGACAGTATGGCTCTGAATTTTCTGTGGGCTAAAAGAGAAAACAGTGTGTAGCTTGTTCTGCATCATTTCCTAGGAATTAAGTGAAACAGGTAATTTAGGTTTTCAAGCATTTTTATATTGATAGACATTTGCATAAGGCTTTCCCTCAGACTTTTAGCATCTTTTTTCTCATTATTAAAATTGGCTTCTCAGTTAACATTGGCCTTTGAGCACTTTTTATTTAGCTCTCATATTTACCTTTCTTCTTTTGCTTTCTTGCTTCTCTTGAAATAGATAATTGCTTTTTTTTTTTTTTTTTTTTTTTTTTGAGTTGGAGTTTCGCTCTTGTTACCCAGGCTGGAGTGCAATGGCGTGATCTTGGCTCACCACAGTCTCTGCCTCCTGGGCTCAGGCAATTCTCCTGTCTCAGCCTCCTGAGTAGCTGGGATTACAGGCACGCGCCACCATGCCCAGCTAGTGTTTTTTTTTTTTTGAGACGGAGTTTCGCTCTTGTCACCCAGGCTGGAGTGCAATGGCGCGATCTCGGCTCACCGCAACCTCCGCCTCCTGGGTTCAGGCAATTCTCCTGCCTCAGCCTCCTGAGTAGCTGGGATTACAGGCATGCACCACCATGCCCAGCTAATTTTTTGTATTTTTAGTGGAGACGGGGTTTCACCATGTTGACCAGGTTGGTCTCGATCTCTCGACCTTGTGATCCACCCACCTCGGCCTCCCAAAGTGCTGGGATTACAGGCTTGAGCCACCGCGCCCAGCCACAGCTAGTGTTTTGTATTTTTATTAGTGACGGGGTTTCACCATGTTGACCAGGATGGTCTCGATCTCTCGACCTCGTGATCCACCCGCCTCGGCCTCCCAAAGTGCTGGGATTACAGGCTTGAGCCACCGCGCCCGGCCGATAATTGCTTTTTAACTTATCATTATATATTCTGCTCCATGTGGTAGAATAAAGAACACAGCTAGTGTGTGTTCATGTTTGCAATTCAGGGACTGCCCTTTAAAATTTTTTATTTTCCCCGCCCACGCCATCCTCCCTGCAAGTCTACCTTTGACTTTAAACTGCTCTTTTCCAACTTGGGAACTTATAGAGCAATTATATTTTACTCTAATTTCTTAATTTGGTGTTTACATTTCAAAGAATAGTATGATGTATTTCTTCAACATTTTATATTTGGCTTCTGCTAAATAGTTGCTTTTTAATCTTAATTTTTTTGTCCAGACCTGCATTTGTAAACATATCTGAACCAACTATTTAAACAATTTTAATTCATGGTGTTTTGCTTTTACAATGCACCAGGTAATGAGGAGATTTAAAAAAATATAGTGAGCATAGTCATGAACATAGCCAGCAGTTTCTTCACAGCACATTGCCTGCACTGTCTCGTGGTATCTGGCCATCTATTTTAGTTAGAACCTGAATTTGGCTTTCTATGTGTGTTTTAAGGGGACATGGATGTAGAAACATGATTCTGCATGTGTCTACAGCCAGGTTTATGGGGAGAGGAAATGCGTGAAATGAACATCATTTCCAGCCTAGCTTTTCTTCATTTATTACCAGCACCTCACTATTTAAATTTTTAAAAATTAAAATGATTTCACATATTTCATTTATTTATTTATCTTTTTTGAGATGGAGTCTTGCTCTGTCACCCAGGCTGAAGCGCAGTGGCGTGATCTTGGCTCACTGCAACCTCTGCCTTCTGGGTTCAGGCAGTTCTCCAGCCTCAGCCTCCTGAGTAGCTGGAATTACAGGTGCATGCCACCATTCCCGGCTAATTTTTGTATTTTTAGTAGAGACAGGGTTTCGACATGTTGGCCAGGCTGGTCTTGAGCTCCTGACCTCAGGTGATCTGTCCACCTCAGCTTTCCAAAGTGCTGGAATTACAGGCATGAGCCACCGTGATTGGCCCACGTATTTCATTTATATGAAGATTTATTCTGTCTTTATCGTATTACATGGATAAAGTCTCACACATACAAAAATGCTTATATTTCTAAGGTTTTAGGGACTAACATACCCACACTGTTTGTTATACGGTAACTGCTTCTGTGGTATAAGTAACATTTTGGCAAGGAAGAAACTTCCATTTTTCTAGGAAGAGGAGGTATAGCACATGTTGGGCATGGCAATCCTTAATATTGAGACAGGATCCACTGATAAACTTCTTGTCCCATTATAGGAGAAGGTTGACAGGAAAGCTTCTAGCAATCCTGACCTTCATCTGAACAGGGCGACGGTAAGACCTTTGGGGTGTAGTCATCTGAGGGTCAAATAAATAAGACATCTAGGTCTTAGCTTGCGAGGATAACTGAGTGTGCATAGGGACAAGATTGAGTACAGACTGCGAGAGGAAAGCTATGCTATTTCTGTAAAGAATTAGCTTGATTTGGCTTCAGTATCTGGTGTTGCCACTGGAGGGAAAGGAGAAGGGGCTGAGGAGGTGGAAGAATATGTAGAAAATGGGGAGATCTTTTAGAAGACTTCTAAAATGTTAAGTAAATATAAAGGTCAAGTGACCCAATATATACAACTTAACTATTTTAGAGTTTAGAAAGTAGCTTCTTTGAAATGATTCCATCTTTGTGGTTGTGATCATCTTGGCTAGGAAGAAGGCTGTAAGGTGCTACCAGGTCTTCAGGCTGTTCGTGGTAGCATAGGAAAATAGCAGGAAGGAAAACAGTTTATTTCTCTAGATTCCTAGCCCATGGTGCCATTATTCCCTCAGCATAGTTTGTCTGGATATACCTGTAATTGGGATATACTTCTTGTACAGTTGCATAAATATGAAGAGAATTATGGGGAGGCCCTGGAGGGCTTCTCTCGGGCTGTAGCCCTGGACCCTGCCTGGCCAGAGCCCCGGCAACGAGAGCAACAACTTCTGGAATTCCTGGATAGATTAACCAGCCTCCTTGAGAGTAAGGTAAAAATGTCTAAAGGGCTGAATTCTACTTTTTAAAAATTTTGCCATGGGTCAATAAAATACGAAAAAATAGGTTTAGGAGGTAGTAACCCTATAGAAGTGGGAGGGAAGGATTAGAATCTCAAGGAAGGTGGTTAGTTTCCAGCTTCTTATCTGTTTCCCCTTCTTTGCAGGGAAAGGTGAAGGCCAAAAAGCTGCAGAGCATGCTGGGAAGCTTGCGCCCAGTTCATCTAGGCCCTTGCAGTGATGGACACTATCAGTCAGCCTCTGGGCAGAAAGTGACCCTAGAGCTTAAGCCACTGAGTACACTGCAGCCTGGGGTGAACAGTGGTGCCGTCATCCTGGGAAAGGTGGTGTTTAGCCTCACCACAGAGGAGAAAGTCCCCTTGTGAGTTTCTCTTGGATTTTCCCCTTTTTACTCTGTTGAACTAATTGCTCTCACTTCCTCTTCTTTCTCTGGCAGTTGAGGACATTGTTAGCGATCACAGATTTATGACTTCTGATTTCCTCTGTGACTATCCCATGGGCAGATATTGCCTAGGTGATATTTAACAATCTTTTGATCACAGAGGCTTTTGTTGATTCTGTCACTGTCCATTTTTTAGCCCTGAGTTTGGTGCCATGTGTATTCCTATATCCACAGTTGAAATTTGGCAGGACTTTTTTTTTTTTTTGTAAGACAGAAACCTTAAAATTCTGTTCTTTTGTGTTTTCATGATCACAGAAGTTAAAGGAGGACAAATTCTTACTCCTGTTTGTACTTAGGTATACTCAGGCAGTTCTGAAAATTGAGCTTTGAGTTATAATTTAAAGTCTGGTTGGGAGATTGTCTTAGATGTCATTCAACAAATATTTATTGAGCATGTATATATGTCATAGGGAGTGAGAAAAAAGAAATGTAAAGGACACAGGTGCAGGTGCTTCTAGCAGCAGAGGAAATTAATTAAGAATATTTATTTAGAAAATTTTTGGATCTTGAAAAGTTAGGGTTTAGTGAGTGCCACCATTCCTTGATCCTTCACTCACTTTCTAATCCCTGCTGGACTGGCTTCCCCTTTCTTCTACTGAAATTGTTATTTTCCTAGGATCACCATTGTCTTTCTAGGCACTGGATCCAGCAACTTACATTGCATGGTTCCAAAACGTTCTGACTATTGAATATCTCTCTCTGTTGCCTTTCACATCCCTTCTGTTCCATCCAAACGGAAATATTCACAATTCCCATTATATGCCCAAGCTTTCTCCATGGCATTTTCTACGGGTTTGTGTGTTTGATGAGTTGAAGAGCAAAAAGATGGTTGAGAACAGTTTGGTTAACTAGAGCGAACCCCAGAACTGAGAAGAATTATAAAGGGATATAAACAAAGGAAGGTTTTGGATGACTGTCGGAACAAATAGATATTTTGTAACTTCTTGGTTTCTCTTTTTCTGCCCAACTTTTAAATCTTGGTTTCCCAGGACTCTGGTTTTTTTTTTTCTTCCTTTTTTCTCTTTATACCAGGATGGCCTCTAGTTGCCAACTTTGATCACTTGTCAGTGGTTGCGTGACATACTGTGTAGAAGGATTCTTAGGCTTTGACTGGATCCATTAGGAGAATGCTTCGCTTGATTACAGTGTTTCCTGTGAATTCAGGTGTGTCATGTGATGGCATGAGTACAGTTCTTCTCCATCCTATCTGTAGAACATCGTGCCTTGTGATGTCGTGTAAACCCAAGCCTCCTGTATGCTCACAGATAAATCTCCAGGCCAAGCATCATTTCCAAGTTTTGGATCCCTATAGCCAACTGCCTCTGGGTTCCAATAAGAAATCTCTAACTCAGTATTTCAGTATTACTCACCTAAATCTTTCTCTGTAAACCTGCTTCTCCTCCTTGGATTCCCTGTGAATGAATGGTATCGCCTCTCAGTCACTTGATTAAGACTTTCGGAAGAATAGGCTTCTCCATTCTCTTGCATTAAGGCCATTGCCAAGTTCTATAGCCTTGCCTTTTTTTGTTCTGTAGACTTGACTTCTCTGTCTATCACCTTAATTCAGGCCCTTATCACTTCTCCAAATAGGTCTCCCTGATTCCCTGGTTTACTCCAGTATTCCACAGTGCCGTCAGAGAAATGTTTCTCAGATGTAAATCTGACCATTGCTACTTCTTATTTAAGATCCCTTATTGGTACTACATGTAGCTTTTGGGATAAAGTGTTTTTTGTTTGTTTGTTTGTTTGTTTGTTTTTGTTGTTGTTTTTGAGATGAAATCTTGCTCTGTCACCAGGCTGGAGTGCATTGGCACAGTCTTGGCTCATTGCAGCCTCCACCTCCTGGGGTCAAGCGATACTTCTGTCTCAGCCTCCTGAGTGGCTGGGACCACAGGTGCGTACCACCACGCCCAGCTAATTTTTTGTATTTTTAGTAGAGATGGGGTTTCACCATGTTGGCCAGGATGATCTCGATCTCTTGACCCCATGATCCGCCCACCTCGGCCTCCCAAAGTGTTGGGATTACAGGCATGAGCCTCCACACCTGGCCAGCTTTTGGGATAAAGTTTGAACTACCTAGCTTAGCATACAAAGTCTTTCATGATTTGTTCCTTGCTTTTTTTCCCATTATCTTCTGTCACTTTCCCACATGTGCCTTTTGTTTCAACCATGGAACTATTTTGTTGGTTTTAGAACAGCTGTTTTCAAGCCTCTGTGTCTTACATACAGTTACTTTGCCTGGATAATCTCTAGCTTCGTCTTGACATAGCTAACATCTCCTGCCCCCAACATTTTGTTATAAAAATTTTCAAACATACAGCTAAGTTGAAAGAATTTTACATTGAACGTCCGTGTTTTCAACCACTTATATTCTATGATTAACATTTTATTTTACTTAGCTTATCACATATCTGTCTGTTTATCCTGTCATCAGAGTAAATTACAGAGATCAGAGTACTTTCCTCTACATACTTCAGCATGCAGTTATTAACTGAGTTCAGTATTTCTTTCGACTTTTTCTTTCTGTTTTTGAGATGGAGCTGTAGTGCAATGGGGCATGATCTTGGCTCACTGCAACCGTCACCTCCCAGGTTCAAGCGATTCTTCTGCCTCAGCCTCCCCAGTAGCCGGGATTACAAGCGCCCACCACCATGACTAGCTAATTTTTTTTGTGAGTGTGTATTTTTAGTAGAGACAGGGTTTGACCACATTAGCCAGGCTGGTCTTGAACTTCTGACTTCAGGTAATCCACCTGCCTCTGCCTCCCAAAGGGCTTGGATTATAGGTATGAGCCACTGCGCCCAGCCCAATTTTTTCTTTTTATGTAAAATTTACATACAATGAAATGTACAAATCTAAATTTACATTTTGTAGCTTTTGACAAATGGAAAATACTCATATAACCCGAATAGAGACCATTACCACCATTCCAGCAAGTTCCCTCATGTTCCCTCCAAGCCAATCTCTGTTACTAGTCCCCTAGAGGTTTTTAAAATTTTGACGGAAGATTAATTTTTCTATTTTAACTCAGGTGGGTTTTCACCCTTTAAGATTCACTTTGAGTGTCTCCTCTTCAGGGACGTCTTTCCGGCTTTCCAGTTTTGATTTGGATATTTCTCCTCTGGGTTCTCATAGTCCAATCTGTGGCTTCACTGAATTCAACACAAAGGAAAAGCTATGCTATCACCCATCACACTGTACTGTTAAGTGATGACTTCATTGTATGACTCCTATACTGTAGGTTGTTCATAGCTGGATTGGTATCTTACTACTAGACACAATGCTTGGCACATACGTAATATTTGGTGAAAGTTTGTGGAATTAAACTACACAGACAGTGATGGTTAGAGGCTTTGGTTAAGAGAATGATAATTAAATTGATATATCAGGAATAATGTTACAACTGTAACATTTTGGTCTAGTTCATCATTAATATTTGTTGAATGGCTTCAGTGTGCTTTGTTTAAGTTCTTAGCAAAGTGACAGATTGATGAGTTTTAGAAAAATGAGAACTCAGATGTACAAAGTGGAGGATGGTACCTCATAGGTTTTCTAAGTAACTGAGAAAAAGCATTTGTTTATTTTGTTAGTATTTTATTTTAAAAATTTAATTAACTAAATTCAATTTCCTTTTTTTGTCCCTGTCCCCAACTAAATTAAATTTTATATTTTAATTATCTGTCACTGATTTTAAGTCCAGCATTTTGCTTTTTTAAACCACTGCTTCTGCTCTTCCTTCCTACCCACCTACCTTTTTGTTTTCCTCTCTCCTAATCTGTCTTTACCTGGCAGTACATTTGGCCTGGTAGACTCAGGTGGACCTTGCTGTGCAGTGATGGTGTACAATATAGTGCAGAGCTGGGGAGTGCTCATTGGAGACTCGGTAGCCATCCCTGAGCCCAACCTGCGGCTTCACCGAATTCAGCACAAGGGGAAGGTGAGCGATGGCTAGGATTCTCTTCCAACTCATAGGCTCTAAAAGTAGAACCAAGCTTATCTTTTTATATAAGATATAGAAATAAAGTATATGCAAGTGTGTGTGTAGGCTATGTGTGTATATATTTGTGTGTGTATATATTTGTGTGTGTATATGTTTTATATATATATATATATATTTTACTAAAAAGGTAAACTGGTAAGCAAAAAAATAAAAAAATGGAGTGAAATACTATCACTCAGCTGTTATATTATCACTCAAATGTTGCTACTGTTAACAGTTTGGTGTACAAACCTGAAGTCTTTTTTCTTTTTATAAATATATGCACATATATTTTTATCTGTATTTTAAATCATGGGTAGGATATCATATGCAAATGCTTGTGAATATTTCCTGTGTTTTTACATATTTCACCATGTTGAGTAGACACACCGTGATGAAGATGGTAACAGTTAACATTTATTTAACACTTAATTGAGTGTTAGACACTGTGCTAGGAGTTTTATTGCCTGCCTTGCCTCATTCAGTTCTTACGAAAACCTTATGAATGTAGATATTTAACCACTGTTTAACCATTTAGATCAGGGGTTTAATCCATTAACCAAATCCGACTCACTGCTTGATTTTATTTAGAATGGTTTCTAGGCTGGGCATGGCAGTTCATTCCTATAACCCCAGCACTTTGGAAGGCCAAGGTGGGACGATCGCTTGAGTCCAGGAGTTTAAGACCAGCCTGGGCAATGTAGTGAGACCCTGTCTCTACAAAAAAAAATATTTAAAAATGTAGCCAGGCATGGTAGTACATGCCAGTAGTCTCAGCTACTAAGGAGGTTGAAGTGAGAGAATCACTGTATTTCAGGAGTTTGAGGCTACAGTAAGTCATCATTGTCCCATTGCACGCCAGCCAGAGTAACAGAGCATCTCTGCCTCAAATAAGGAAAAAGAAAAAAAAAAAAGAAAGAATGATTTCTATGTTCTTAAATGAAAAAAATTGACAGAAGCATAATATTTTGTGATATGTGAACATTACAGGAAATTCAGATTTTAGTGTCCACAAATAAAGCTTTGTTGGAACACAGCCACACTTATTTGCTTACTACTGTCTGTGGCTATATTTGTACTATAGTGAGAGGTGAAATTCTGTAACAGAGACCATATGACCCACAAAGCCTAAAATATTTACTGTCTGGCCCTTTACGGAAAGACTTTGATGACCTCAGATCTAGATTATTTCTAATTTTTTTTCTATTATAAAAGTACTACAGTGAGCATTTTTATGTTTTTGCTTATATCTATGATTATTTACTTAAATTAATTTATAATATAGAATCCTGGGTCCAAAGGGTATGCGGAATTCTGAGGGTTTTGATACATATTGCCAAATAGTTCTTTGCAAAATTGTACTAGTTAGTTGTCACTACCAACAGTGGATATAAATAAGTGTTTCTCTGTAGTTTTTTTCTCAACTCTGGGTAGAAACCTTTGAAAAGTTATTTTCTAATTTTATATGAAAAATATCACATGAACATTATTTTAATTTATAGTTCTATAAATTGCCATTTTTTGTGTCACTTGTCCATATTTCTGTGAAGATTAAAAAAAAAAAAGATTTATGAGAACTTTTAAATTGACTTTACTTGGACTTAAAAGAGCCAGCTTCTCACAGCCATAATTTTTGGATAAAGATTACTTAACGTGTTTTACAACTTAAAATACACTGGAACTGATAAAGTGAGCTGATACCCTTTTTGTTATTAGAAAAATGGCTACATTCTGTTACATATTCTATTTTTTCCTCTCGATGTAAAAGAGAAGTAACTTTAATTTGTATTTGGTGGATTAATTTAGGACCTTATAAACATTTGGACTGAGATTTTCTCAGGATTCCCACTGGCTGTGGCCAGTGTGTATCTAGTTAATTATCAGGAAACACCATGGGAAAGGGAAGATTCTGTGAAAATTGGTTGCATTCTTTTCTTACACAATGTCAGGAACCTGCCTTTTTTGAATCAAAGAACTGTCTCATTCTTGTCATGACACTACATGGCCTTACATGCTTCGTTTTCCTTCTGAAGATTGAAAACTTTGGGAAAATTTCATCCCCTTTGTTAGCTCAGTTTTGTCTGATTGAGATGGAAGCAGAAGGGGTATACAATGGAGTATGCAATGGGGGAGGTGGTCCGGAAAGTTGCAAGTGGTGTATGTATCCCCATACTGGATCTTTTTCCATCTTGTGATCTGTAATGAACTTCTTTCTGTCTTTTCTAGGACTATTCCTTTTCCAGTGTTCGAGTGGAGACGCCCCTCCTGCTAGTGGTGAATGGGAAGCCTCAGGGCTCTGGCAGTCAGGCTGCTGCCACAGTGGCATCGAGACCACAGTGTGAATGACCTTCTTTGACTTTCGTGCTCAACAGGGAGTGGAGGAGAGGAGACAAGGCCCTGGGCAGCTGGTCCAGCCACATTCAGTGATTCAGCAGGGATGGGAGGAATGTTTTAAATGAAGGCTTTCCTTTTTCCTACCTGTATTACACTTTGTATTTCTTCTCTCTCTGTCCTCCTGATGTTCCAGCTGTCTCCAGGGCCACATACTCTTCTGGCATATCTCTCCTGCCTCTTCCAGTGCTCTCTATGTTTTAAGAAAACAACATGGAATTGGTAGAAGTCTTGGGAGACTGCCATGGGACAGAGTCCCCAACGTTCCTGTTCTTGCCTCCTTCTTAAGCCTCATATGTATATATCAGTTCAGTATTTATTGCTAAAGGAGGGGGCTTAATTTTACAATGGCTTTTTTTTTTTTTTGAGCAGTTTTTATTTTTATTTGTAAAATTTAGGTCCTTCCCCTTCTTCGGGGCTGGAACAGAATTAAATTTGTTTGGAAAAAAAGTACCATGTAGTTTGGCCTACTTTATTCTCCCTAAGCTTGTAGTCTTGGTTTTAGGATCACTTCAATTTATTGGAGTAATACCACCCCCTTTTTTTCTTTATACAAAGTAGTTTATTTCTCTCCCAGTGAAAAGAATTCTGCCAATAGACAGCCCAGGGCAGGAATGGAAACTCCGCAAAGTTTCTAGAGACCAGCCTCCTTCCGTTTTCCCATTCTGTCATTCCCTAGGAGTGGTCTTCACCATGGTCCAAGATGGCAGAGCAATACTGTTTAATAGTGTTACTAGGCTGAAGGACTAGAGACAGATATTCAGTTTCTTTAGAGTGTAGTGACATGCTTTATGACAGTTTATCTTAATATCCTTGTGGTAAAATGGAGAAATGTGAGTATTAGTAACCAACTGAATGGCTATAATACATTAATGGATACAGATGAATTTAGAAGACTTATAGTGAAATGGCTCAGATCTTTGTTCTTGGTCCAGTCCTGTTCAATTCTTGATCAGTGACTTGAATATCATTGATGACTCATTAAATGTATAAAGAATGCAGAGGACTCCTCAGAGAATGGATGAAAGAAATCCATTGATAAGAGAAGTTTATCTGTCAAGTCATAAAGGCTGAGTCTATTAAGATAAAATTTTCAGTCCATTCTTTTGGTCCAAAAAGGGTAACTTTCTTAGGCATAGCTTCAACGTCATATATGAAAATTACTAGAAATTTTAGTAGATAAGCCGAAGTCAGTATGAGTAACCAATCTGATAGAGTTTGCAAAAACACTCTTTGTAGACTGCACCAAGAAACCTGCGGCAGACAGTTTTTATTACAAGTACTATCTGTTTTTTCCCATATATGGAGTCTTAATTTAGTTTTCAGTCTCGATTTTGAGGCCTAGAGTCATATAAGAGTGATTAGGAGCTTGTGCGCGGTAAAAATACCTTGAGAAATGGCTGAAAGCAACTAGGGAAGTTGGGAGTAGTAAGTGGTGTGTGAAAGCATTTGAGGCAGTAGAGATGTGGGACCCAAATACTGTTCCCCTTTAACTCAAGTTCTGAGATGAGTTGACATGTTCTGTGTAGGGCTAGAGAGTAGAAAAATGACCAGTAGGTGGTAACCAGAGAGAAGCAGTGCATGCAAACAATTAAGTATGCAAAATATGTACATATGGTTTCAGGAATAACTGGAATACCCATAAAATAGCTACCTGCCTTAGAAACTAGTACACCATTGATACCTTGAAAGCCCTTGTGTACCTCCCCATGATCTCATTTGTCTTCCTTCACAGCTATATGATATCTCATTGTATGATTATACCACAATATATTCATCCTATTGTTAAAGGATATTTGGGTTTCTGGTTTTTCTTTTTTTGCTAGCAAAGCACTAAATTATTAAGATTCTGGTATATGTCCTGATATGTAAGTGCAAAAGTTTCTTTTACAGCAATGGTTCTTGAAGAATGGTTCCCAGACCAACAGCATCAGCATCCTTTGGAACCTCTTTGAAATGCAAATTATCAAGCCCCCTACCCAGACTTATTGAATTCAAAACTCTGGGGGAAGACTCCAGCAATCTTTGTTTAGTAAACCCTCCAGGTGACTCTGATGCACACTAACATTTGAGAACCACTGTTTAAGAGTATTGACCTAGAATGGAATTGCTGGGTCATAGAGTTCAACTTTTTTGAGAAGCAGTAAACATTTCTAAAGTTTGTATCAGTTAATGTCTCTACTATCAATGGATGAGTATCCCCAGTGCTCTCCATCCTCTTCTGTGCTTGGTATTATCTTACCTTTTAGATACTGCAAATACAGGAGATTCGAGTATTATTTACTTGTGGCCTTAATTTGCATTTTTTTGATTATTAATGAGCTTGAGCATCTTTTTGTATATTTAGAAGCCACTAATGTTTTCTCTTGGTAAAATGCCTATTCATTTCTTTGCACACTTCTGTATTGGATGTCAAATTGATTTATATATTCCCTATACTAATCTTTTGTCATTTTGTGTGCTCAGACACCTAACAGTTTTAGCTTGTCTTTTTACTCTGTTGGGTCTTTTGCTGAACAGAAGTTCTTAATTTCAATGTCATTGAATTTATCCATCTTTTATGGTAATGATTTTTATGTTTTAAGAGGTTATTAGCTATCCTGAAGCCATAAGGACATTTTCCCTATCTATTGTTTTATGAAGTTTATCATTTTGTCCTTTTCTTACAGTATGACTTTATTTTTGTTATGATGTAGTATATAATTTTTTTCATAATGAATAATTAAGTAGCCCAGCATCTTTTATTAAAGAATCAATCCTTTCCTTACTGATTTTTAAAGCCCAGTCTGTCTTAAACCAACTTTCCATCTCTCTCTCTCTCTTTTTCTCTCCCTACCTGTCTGTCTATCCATCTGTCCATCTGTCCATCCATCCATCCATCCATCCATCCATCTATCCACACTGATCTTTAAAGCCCAGTCTGTCTTAAACCAACTTTCCATCCCTCTCTCTCTCTTTTTCTCTCCCTACCTGTCTGTCTATCCATCTGTCCATCTGTCCATCCATCCATGCATCCATCCATCCATCCATCCATCCATCCATCTATCCACACTGATCTTTAAAGCTCAGTCTGTCTTAACCAACTTTCCATATGCATCTCTCTTCTTGAGTTGAGTCTCACTCTGTTGCCCAGGCTAGAGTGCAGTAACACAGTAGTGGCTCACTGCAGCCTCGACCTTCCAGGCTCAAGCAGTCCTCTCACTTCAGCCTCCCAAGTTGCTGAGACTGCAGGTGTGTGCCACTATGCCTGGCTAATTTTTTAAGAATTAGCTGCTCAAGTGATCCTCCCGTTCAAGCATCCTCCTGCCTCGGACTCCCACAGTGTTGGGATTACAGGTATGAGCCACCATGCCTGGCCCTCTATTCTGATCTGTTCTGCTCTGTTTATTTTTGCTAGTACTACATTGCCTTATAGTTTTATAAGAAGTCAGTATCTAATCACATAAGTTCTTTTATGTTGTTCTTCACAAGTGTCCCATTTACACTTTAAAATCAGCTTATAACTTTTCATGAAAAATTCCCTGGAACTTTAATTGGGATTGCATTGAATCTGTGGATCAGTTTAGGAAGAATAGGCATCTTCATAACACTGAATCTTCTTTTTTTTTTTTTTTGAGACGGAGTTTCACTCTTGTTACCCAGGCTGAAGTGCAATGGCGCGATCTTGGCTCACCGCAACCTCCGTCTCCTGGGTTCAGGCAATTCTCCTGCCTCAGCCTCCTGAGTAGCTGGGATTACAGGCACGTGCCACCATGCCCAGCTAATTTTTTGTATTTTTAGTAGAGACGGGGTTTCACCATGTTGACCAGGATGGTCTCGATCTCTCGACCTCGTGATCCACCCGCCTCGGCCTCCCAGAGTGCTGGGATTACAGGCTTGAGCCACCGTGCCCGGCCAACACTGAATCTTCTTACCTATTTTCTTTATGTAAGTAAGTCTTCCTCATTGTCTTTTTTTTTGTGACTATGTAATTTTACTGTTTCTGTAGTAGCTGCCAAATAGTGATATTCTAATTTCATTATTCCTTCTACATTTACTAACTGCAATCAGACCCATCTATTTTTTGAATCCTGGCACTGCCCGTTAAGCTGTACAATCTTAGGATGCCAATAGGAAAGAAAAAAATTGTCAGCTTAGAATTTCGTTTCCAGTAAAAACTTGTATCTTTCCCTTGCTGTTCCTTTTCTCCTGTTTAATTTCCTTCCCTCTGATTTTGGCCATGGAGGTTGGCCTTGGTTGCTGGGTTACCTTAGTAGTAGGATTGGAACACTCTAGAAGGCAGTGCAGGGAGGGAAAAGGTGAGCAGAGATGTGTGTTGTGGTCTATTAGCTAGCACCCAACGATTCAAAATAGGAAGTGGGAGGTAGTCACATCGAGGCACATTGGCAGCCACATTGGCAGCCAGCTAGCATGAGTTCATGGAGGTATTAGGAGAATGTGAGACAGAGGCAGGGAACATTGGTGGTGTGGTTATGAGACTGGATTTTGAAACACATAAGGTACAAATAAGTAGATATATTAAGGTAAATGACAGCCAGTTTCTGACTGTTGAAAGAAGTATAAACATGGAAAAGAAAAAATGTCTATAAATAATTCTAGTAGATCAGAATTGGAGGCATTGTGAAGACCTCTGGTTTTTGATATGTACACACTGACAAATATATATGTGTCTGTGGTGTGTGTAAGAAATTATATATATATATATATATATATATATATATATATATATATATATATAGTTATTAGCTATGTCTACTGAGAGGGTCAAGTGCCTCATTGGTAGGAGTGATCATAGGTAATACTCTTGATTTCTGCATAACGTAAGAGGGAATCATATTCCTTAATGAAACTGTCAGTATCAGCATGGCATCTGGAATTGTCTAAGCTGAGAATAGAACTTCCTATGTAAAAATATGAACTTTAAAAGTCTCTCACTGGCCAAATCTGGCACATAAGCATGAAAGTAAGTGATTGAAACAAAATGGAGCTCATTGGATAATATACTAATTAAGGAGTATTTTTGACATGAAGGTAAATTTAAAAAAAATAGGTAAATGGAGGAGAAAGGAGGGATACTCCTTTGAGTAGATGTCAACTACAGGATGTCTAGAGCTGCCATTAGGAAATCATCATAGTATTAGATGGTTTAGATAGGAGTTAATACAAAGAAAGCTGGTTAGTGAAGATGTGATGAGGAGCAGCTTACAGGTATTACCTTAGAATATCTCTTCACAAAATACTATTCAACATAAAATAAAAAGTGTAAATTAAAGCTGGATAGGCCTGGCAGATACCAACCAGACCAGGTCATTAATGGTTACATCACCGGGGTGGGAGGGATAGCAAATGTGACCCCTGGTGGGAGGCACTAAGGGCACAGCACCATGTTTGTATTCTTCCTGCCAAGGGAACATCGCTGAATCTGGTCATGAAGAATCATCAGAAAGATC